ATAATTGTAGCATCCTACGCAATGCTTGTGGCATCATAGGGGATGCTTGTAGTCTCGCAGACAATACCTGTCGATATTAGATGATTCTAGTGGCATTCCAGCCGTTAACTAATTGAGTACTTGAATAGTTGAATAGTTGAACTAATAGTTGAATACTTGAATTCAACTTTCAAGTTTGACACTACTGTATATTTTTTAGTCCATTCGTCAAAGAAGAAACGTTTATTCACGAAAAAATCGAATAATTTTAAAAGAAGCAATAACCAAGTTACCTACTTTGGTTACGACGATAAGCTGCCTATGCTAACTTTAAATACAGTGTATGTACGGCTATAATGGCTGCTCATAAGTACGAATAGAAGCTCAAATAGTTTCATGCACTCACTCTTCGTTTCAATATGGACGGTACTTTGATAGGAAATAAGCATTTAAAGACAATATTAGACATGAGCGTCATCCATCGTTTTTCGTCTCGGTACTCACAGCGATATGAAAAATCTCTGGTCCCGGAACTGAAATCATCATATCCGTATGTACACAATATCTATCAATTGTATCGACGGTTGTCATCAATGACAAATGGCAAAAAACCTTGTTCTCTCAAGGCTTTTGCAAATACGTAAAAAATTTGTCAGTAGAATTCGTTTATGATATTAAATCTGTCAAACATATTTCCAGAGGAACAGAAAACGTCGATATTTATCTCCGACTAGATAGTCATCTGTGGACTGCAGTTGATCTATTCGCACTTACTGAATTTAGCTTCTATTATCCATGCATCTTTTGCACACATTATAAAGATGGTCGTCATGTGATGAAACATTCAGCTTATGATAAAACTATTGAAGAAAGAAAGGAAAATAATAAGAAAACAATTACTGCTCATGTTGATGCTACTTCTTATTAAGATGCGAATTTTGCCGAACAAACTTCGTGTTTTTCAAAGAAAACTTGTGGCTTTTTCATTATATAGACATGACTTTCTAAGATTTTTTAAATAAATAGTACTTCAGTTGTAGCTTAAAATTTTGGCATTCATTTTGTTTTAGATAACCTGTTGTAAATATGCATAGTTGTTTTTCTAACAATTTGCATATCAACTATATGTTTCATCCTATCGTGACCAAAAATGCGGATGACTAAGTCATATTTCATCTCACGTTTCTATTTTTTATCGCCACATATATCTGAACCCAATTTTTTCCAAAATTCTCTCGGGTCTTATTTCTGTCAAAGTAACTTTTTCTATTTGAGAATGCGGTTTTATGAACAAAAAACCCAGTCGCGACAAATGGCTAGTTCCTAGACCTTTTCCTTCTCACTACAAAAAAAACACATATAAAAAAAAACCTAATTACATCTTCTGAAAGCCCTTAAAGCTTTCTCTTATTCTTTACACTTATGTTTTAGTTTTTGCTTATCCACGAGAAAATAAAGAGAGTGAAATGAAGACACTTTTTTCTCCGGATTCCCAGGAACTGAATCTTGTCACTGTCGTCTTAATTAGTAGTTTTTCAAGTTTTTATCACTATAGAATTACTTTTTTTAAAACAGGAATTATAAGTATTTTGGTGCAGCCTGAGATTCTCTACTATCCTGTATATTCACTTATTATCTTGAATTCTTATATTGAGAAATAATTTTGAGTATAACGAACACACCCTCAATTGACAAGTACCACAAATCGTAAGTTTTCTCTTTTTTTTCAAAATATAGTTGCTACGAAAATATTTTTTGAAAAAAGCAAATATAGATTCTGATAAAGCTTGTAGTTCTCTATCATCCTATATATTTCTTCTTTGCCTTCCGTTTATATGCAGAAGAACAGTTCAAGTATTCGGTGTACATCCTCCTCAACAAATTCTAAAAAATTTGGATTATCCAATACTAATTTATTTTTCATTTCAACTTTATTATCAGAATAGATATAAAATTTACAACAAGTTTTTACGGCTTGTAAAGGAGAGTACCTACGGAATACTCGAGCTCTTTTTCAACACATAAATGCAACACAAGACAAAAATATATATAGAATATTAGAGAAATTCAAACTTTATCGAAGTCTATAATTACGTTTTTAAAAATTTTTTCCATAGGAATAATAATTTTAAAAAAAACTACAAAAGTAACGTAAATATGCATACTTTTCATACTTGTCAATTGAAGATTTCTTCATTATATTCAAATTAGTTTTCAGGAAACGAGTGCCATGCAATAGATAAACACATAGGATGATAGAAAATTTTTAAAAGAAGTAATTAAACATGACAATGACAAAATTCAGTTTCTGAGAATCTGGACAAGGGAGTGTCTTCATGTCACTTTTTTTCTTTCTCGTGGATAAGCGAAAATTCAAACATAAGTGTAAAGGATGATAGAAAACTTTAAGGGCTTTCAGAAGATGTAATTAGATTATTTTTAAATATGTTTTTATAGTGTTAATGTATTTAAAATACGAACTGATACTATTCATTTCCAGGCATGCAGCATGATTCACTTATTTTTACTAGTTTTCTTCGTTTTGCTTTATCTTTGCCAGACTTCAGAATTTTTTTTTCATTTCTATCTGATCAGAGAGAGAGAGTATTGATTACTCTATCCATTTGCGTAGTTTCCTTTTGATTTATTTTATACTTGTATGACAAAAATGAATAAACGTTGCGCAACAGGTTGAAAAACTTCTTTTCTGTGGAATTTTAGAGATTTTTTTCTTTGAGTAATTTGAGCAATTACAATGCAGTCGACGAATGATTATCATTTGTTTTAACATAGCTAGATAGAAAGTTCACTTCTCTAGCAAACTATCCATTTTTAGCCGATTTATTTCTCAGTTTCATTGAAATTCAAGTGAATCTCTGACGAATCTTTTTAGTCGCGCAGCTACTTTAATCCTTTGTATGAAGAGACAGTTAGATAGAGCAAAAGTTTTTCTATTAATTCATGCAATATTGGCCTGATTTAGTTACAAGGTCTTATTGGTACATTCGAGGTAGTACGTAGGAACAGTATTGAAAATCTAGTGCTACAAAAGTGTCCAAATTGCAACAGTCAAATTGAATTTTCTCCTCAAATTCAACACATTTTCAGTCGTTCGTATGGGTAATTTTTCGTTTGACGTATCTCTCCGAACTAAAACCATTTTCATGAGAATTAGATTGAGTTCGAGTGAAGTAAATCTGTGCAAAAATTTTGTTGAGCTACGTAGTTCAAAGAATCTTTTGGTTTTTTCATCAAGACATGAAATAAATCAAAAGAAAACTATACATTTGAACAGAGTAACCAGTGCTCTATCTAATTATATAGAAATCAAGTATTTCTGAAGTCTGGTAGAGATACAGCATATTGAAGAGAACTAGTAAAAATAAGTGAATCATGCTGCATATATGCATTTTATATATAAAGACTTTATATTATTTAATAAAAAGGTATAAAATGTTAATCTCATCACTCATTTTGTTTTGTTACTCATCCTCAGATGCTATCGTTACATGATAATAATTAAATACAACTAGAAATCTTTGTAGTGATACATGACATTATTTTTTCTAAGTTTCTTCTTTCATTTTAGAATTCATTTTGTTCTTCTACACTTGTCTAAACAGCAATTACTTTTGTTGTGACAGATGCGATAACATTGACAAAAAAACAGTTATATGAAAGTTCTTATTTTCAGTACATATCTACATTTTTGATTTGATAAAAGACCTAAGTTTTTAAGAGATACTATTTTATACAGATGTGAGAACTGTTTGTTCTCACCATGTCTGCGACGGTGAAATTTGAAATGACATTTTTTTAGATTCCTCCGTTCCACCTTAAACTGTACGTAGAGTACGAAAAAAATTATGATTAAGAAAAGGGACAGTTTGGTTGGATTCTATTAAACAAAAAGTAATATTAGTCTATTTGTCTAGCCAATAAAATCAACTTTATATCGTGACTGAAATAGACAATTCTAGTTTCCACAAGTTGAGAATCAGTAATATTTTCAAATTGATGTTTGTTTTGATTGAAATTACATAGAAATTCTAAACCTGTTGAATATACACTGATGATCCTAGTTTGTGTATAATGAATGCTTCTCTATCATAATTCGGTAAAAGAAACTTAAACATTTTGTTTTATATCATCAACATTGACGAATATTTTATATTTAATTTAAAATATGTTTAAAAGACTATTAAATAAATGATTCCATTTGAATGTTTGATGATAACATAAAATATGCTTTTATCATTTTATATGATAGTTAGTGCCAAAGATTTTTGTAATAAACAATAATCAAACATTATAATAACAATAGATTCAAAAAGAAATCATACGAATATGTATGTACATGACAGGAGTAGAGCTAAAAAAAGAAACTACGAAATTAGTTACGCAAAAAAAAACAGAAAGAAAAAAGAAAAAACCATACAAGGACAATTCAATCTATCTATTCTATCTCTATCTAGTGGCAAAAATATACAAAGTATTATATGATTTTGTTTCACTCTTGAGATGATTATCAAAAAGAAGAAATTAATAAAAGATCAAATATGTTTCAGATGTCGAACTCAGTTTGTACACGTCTGAATGAAATTCATATTGAATTGATATTACATGATCATGATACATTCTTGTTTGATTCTGATGGTGTTCTCTGATTTTCACCAATTATTCTTTCAGGTGCTATTGAATTACTCAATTATTTAACAAAATTAGTACATAATCATCTTTCTTGTTTATTTTATTTTTTCGTTCATTTAGAAGGATAAACGAGTATTTTTTTTGTGACGAATAATTCATTAAAAGCTCAAAGAGGATTTTCTCAATGACTCAATCAAATCGGATATGAATCTAAACCTGTATATTAATTGTTTTTTAAGAATAAGAATAATAATCCATATATGTTTGTATTTGTTTTGTAGGAACAAATTATTTGTACAGCATAGATTACTGCTCAATATCTTAAATCAATTAATTTTAAAGGTCATTGTTATTGCATTGGAATGTAATCGATGGTAGAAGAATTAGAACAAAAAGGTTTTCATATATCAGATGGTATTGGAATAAGTATAAGATATCTAAAAAAAAGGAAATTATATTTTGATTGTTGTCTATAGGAGAAGGGACGATTTTGGGTTCAATTGTGGCAGCATCAGGTCGTTCTCCAACGATACTAGGAAAACCTCGAGCTTCAATGTTTGATTCGATTCGTTTAGCTTTTCTTGATGTTAAACCTAATCGAACTATTACGATTGGTGATAGGTAAAAGATGACAGTCATTCGGAGTAGATTTTTTTTAATCATTTTCTATTTTACTAAAATATAGATTGGTGGCAACGGATATTTTATTTGGTATTCATCAAAGTTTGACAACGCTACGTGTATTCAGTAGGGCAACAAGTGAGAAAAAAACTGGATACGATCAAACAAGCAGTTGAAAAAATAATACTATGGACAAAGATCTTCTACCAAAATATTGTATCAAAGATGTTAATCTCATGAAAAAACTTATTCCTAATTAAATTAAATTATTAGATTCTTTTGATAGTTGTAAACTTCTTATTGATGTGATATTAATAATAAAATGTTGTTGTTTTTTTTTATAAAGAATAATGAAATAAAAAGTATTCTATGCTATTCTCATCAGCAGACGACATTGTTTTCATTAAAACTATCAACTATACGTTTTAACTTGATTAACATTATTTTTCTCATTATGATATTTTTCATAAAAATATTGCACATCGAACAAGAAAGTGGTGGGATCAAAATTTCTCAATAACCTTAAATCATGCTATCTGCTTTTTTTCTGTCACATAGCTATACTCGTATGTTTCTTCTATCAGAACGAAAAAGAAGTTATGGTTTTTTTTTCCTCTATTCGTTTTTTTTTGTATTACACAAAAGCAAGGCATCGAGTATAGAGCGTCATTTTACTAAACGGCATATTCTCTTGAAACAAACAAGCTCGATGTCGAATGCAGATACATCTACACAACAGCAATCAGCTAACGATAATAAATCTGTTTTTACGGAAGCAGGTCGATCAAAAATAGCTTTGGAAGTTGGTCAATGTGGCATAGGTGCGTCAAACAACTCAACAAATGTTGAAAATTCATGTACAAATTGTAATACCGCAAAATGTGACTACAACGATCATAAAAAAACTGGATCGTCAACATAAATTTTTTAGGTTCTATATGTATTTTTATGTAAACAAACTCTTTTACAGTTGAGTAAGTCTTAGAAAAAAATGAATTGAAAAGACTAAATGTAAAGATTTGTTCAATTCCAGTAGATATTTATCTTTGAAAAGTCATCCAAAGAAAATATTTTTTTAAAGTAAGCTTGATTTAATATTTAAAACACTTACATTTGACACAGTAAACAGTATGATTTCATTGAAAGAGTTTCGTTTTCTTTTTCAAAAAAAAGTTTCTCATATATTTATTATTTTGATTGTCAATATTTTTTTCAAATTGCTTAATCATCAATAATTACACAATAATATACTCTTTAACTTCTTTTTATATTTTTGATATTTCTCTTTAAGTTAGTGATATGTTTTTTAAAAAGATTAGATTAGATCGATCAATGAGATTTAAATTATTAGATTTTTTTTCGTTTATTACTAAATCAAATCTCTGAACTAATCTCAGCATCAATAAAACTAAAAAAGAAAAAATATGGAAAATAAAAGAAATATCACAAAAAAAAGAGCGAAAAAAATTAAAAATAAAACGACACACGATCAAATGCATGATCAATTTGACCAAACAATCTCAATGACATAAACAAAATAATTCTATACAAATCAAAAGAAAATAATGTTTATGCAAACCACATTGTATTCTCAATTGATGGATTAAAGTCAATTTTTATTGTTTGAACATCATCTAATGTTACAATAACATTTTCATCTATAAGTCCTTCTTCAATATCAGAACTAAAATTAAAAATTTCTTTTAATTTCTAATAAATATTTGAAAACTTACGCAGCAATACTTCGTTGTTCACTAGACATTTGTCCTTCATAATCAAGATTCAAACCACGAGATACACAAAGTGTTGCATAATGAACAGGTGCTGGAACAGATACAGATTTTGTACATCGAACATCCGTATGACATAAATAATATCTAATAATTTTTGTGTTTAAACAAATTATTTGTCTTTTTCTTTTTTTCATATATTAAAAAAAAAATTCTCACGTTAATTGTTGAATTTCGTCTGGTGTAAAACCGATATCATCATATAAAACATTATAAAGCATTGGTCTTGATGTACCTTGAATAGCTGCATGAGAATTAAGATAAAAATCAAATCCATTGGGTGTAACAATATCTGTATCAATAACTGTGCCTTGATTTAAAAATAAAACCTAATAAACAAAACAAAAAAAGAAAATAAAAACTTTTACCTGGTTGAATATTATTTGTTTGATTTGATTGTTTATCCCAACTAAAAAATCGAGTATTATGACGTTTTTTAACAACAGTAAAACAAATTTTTGGCAAGTCATTATGACCATAAAGCTCTTTTACAAAACAAAAAAAACTTTTTTATTCATAGAATTATTTAATAAAAATCAAAATTATTACCTTTACATGCTCGTTGTATAGCTCGTACTTCATTATCAAGTACTTTTTGAAATGATCCATCATCAACACCAGCACGATAAAAAACAAGTTTATTTGGTAAACGAGTATTATGATTTGAAAATTCACGTAATAATTCTCCAACATAAATATGAAGATCTTTTATTATTTCAACTGCTATTTTTCCTTTTGGAGAATATTGTTGAACAACACGACCAGCATATTGTGTACCTAAAACAAAAAAAAACAAAGGTTTATTTTATATTAATAAAGAATTTTAAAATAAACTTGTTGAATCTTTTGATCCAATAACAGCAGCAATAGATGGTCGTTCTCGTGAACATGTTACATGAGTACAATCAATACCAAAAAACATAAATATATCTGTACGAGGTGATGGAGAAGTTAATGCACGCATTAATGAAACTAATTGATTAATACCACCTAATTTTGCATTAAATTTTTGTACCAAATTCTAATTTTCTTTTATTTTTAAATAGAATATTTTTACAAATATAAATAACTTACTTGAATATACATATCCATTTTACGTGGTTCACTATTCGCCATAAGTTTATCAAAACGTGTACATTGTGTTACCATACCTGTACAAATATATATATATAGAATAGATAACATATTGATTATTGATTATCACAGAAATCAAAAGAGAGATGATTATTTAAAATAAAAAAAGTCAATTTGTTTTTAGTTATGTTTTCTCATTGAAAAAAGCAAATTCTTCTATATTAGCTTTTTACAGTTTTAAATTTAATGTTTTTTTCCTATTCGTCTCTATAAATTGTTCAAGTTAACAAGAGTTTTATCGAAGTTGAATTAGCCTATCACTGAATGGTGATTTTAGGTATCGATGACTTCAATTTCTGTCAAGTATAGATTATTGGAAACAATCTTAATGTAAAACTAAAATATGTTATTATGTTTTTAGAATTTAATGCCTTATGGATTATTCTTCATAATATAAAAGAATAAAAGTTCTTATTTTAAATAATGAATCAAAGTTTCAACATAAACAGGGTAGAAAAAAAACATTTGACAACAATATATTTTAGATATTTTTCTATGATATTTATCACTTAGCTCAAATCGAAATAGATTGTAATTATTATCTTGAAAACTGAAATAGGAAATAATTAATTTTAAGTTAAACAGAAATAAAAAAAAGTATTCTTACCAAGTTTAATATTTCCAAAAAATTTAATGACATGATAAATATCATCACCGACTTGATTAAGAATATAAATGATAACTTCACATCCTAACATTTTAAGTTCATTCATTCGTGCTAAAATTATATCAGGTACAGCAGCATCTGATTTTTCAATTGCTGCTGAATTAAATCGAATACCATATTTCGACATTGCCTTTAGAACAAAAGAACAATTTTTTTTTTTTTAAATTAAATTTCTTCATTAAGAAAAAAACAAATGTTCTAACCTGTGGAATTTTACTTGCAAAATCTCTAGCTAAACCAACTTGTCTAGCATCAGGTTCTTTTTGGCTAACAAGAACAAGAGCCCATGCACGTATTTCACGTGCTTTATTAAAATGATTATTTAAATACCATTTTCCAATTTGTACTCGTTCAATAACATCACGTTGATCACCTTGTGATGATTTATATTTTATTTCCGGTGGTGTTAAAACTCTAGCAGGTATTATTAACATATCATTAGAATGAACTTTAATACCAAATTTTTGTAAATAAGGATCTTGATCAAAATGACATTCATCAGCAACACGTCGAATCATTCCAAAACGTTCACCTGGTTTAACAACAGTTTTTTTAGTTACTTTTGCTCGTTGATCAGTTGTTAATGGTTTTAAACTTCGTTGCCATTCATCAACAGTAACTAATTCCATTGGTAAATAATGTGATTTATTTTTATCAGCTGGATTAAATAATTCAACAACAGGTAATTGTGGATAACGTAAACGAATTTTCCATTTTTCTTGAAAATAATCTGTAACACTAATTTGTTCACCTTCACCTTCACCATGATCTTTAGAAAATGTATATTCATTTGATGAAGGACCAAAGGATTTTAAACGATATTTTCGAATTTGATTTGTATGTGATGTTGCAAACCAAAGAGATTTTAAGATTTTACGTACTAATAATGGTTGATCTTTTGGTGAAATACCTTTAAATAAATATATTTTTGTTATCTATTTTTATTTCACCAATTGAGATTCGAATATATTTAAAGAAAATATTCAAATTAATGGAAATAGTACTCATAGACGTCTTCGAACTGTCTTGCAAGTAACGACTTCATTTTTATAACTATATATGTTAATATTATCATCGATTTACTACGATTTCAGCTTATTGTAAAAAACTTTTAGTCGAAAATTTTGCTGATAAAAAAAGATCTATTCTGATTTCGTTTTCTGGTCTTCGCTTGTTGAGTTATCAGAATTTTACTCCATATTTGCCATGGGACTATAAAATTGATCATCGAATTTCAAGCTCGAAATTTGACCATAGCTAGATCGTATAGTCACTGAAAATAGTTTAAAGTTTGGACCATATCCTTGCTAAGATATTCAGATTTCGCAGAAACGCCTTTATTTGCACTGTTTAAAAAATAGGATGTTTCTATGACAAGTGCATATTTTGATACGGATATATTTCTTCTAGCTGAATATTTGAGTTGCTTCTAATGATATTTATGGGCAAAATTTTAGTCCGAAATTCGTTCATTCAGGGTCTTAGCGATTCTTCAACTCGTAGGAAAAAATTGAATAGACCACATATAAGTCGATAGGTGAAGATCAAATGAAAAAATCAAACAGACTTTTTCTCCATTAATCAATGCTGATCAATGACAATAATCTCAAACGATAAATGATTGAACAGGTAGAAACTTTTCTTCGTGCAATAAAACAAAAAATAAATTTGATAATATTTAAATGATGATAATAGAAAAAAAAAAGGTTTTGAAAAATATTTTTTCTATGATAAACTCACCATTTCTTCTAATATCTTGACCTAAATAACAGGAAATAAATTCAACTAGATTATAATTTTGATAAAAACAACAAAAATTATTATTAATATTCAATGTTGGACCACGTTCACCAAGTACCATAGCTTGATAAAATCCTGATGCTAACCCACGACCATCGCCTTAATAAAAAGCAAGACTTCACCAATGAAAAAGAAAAATAAAAGATTTTTTTTTTTTTATTATTTTGTTGAATATTTTACCAAGATCATCTAATTTTTGATTTTTTGGATATGATTGATTTTTAATAGTAATCATTTCAGCTCTTTGTGTTTGTTTAAATAAAGTTTCTAAAATTCTAACAGGATCATGAGGACGAACTGGAATTCTTCGTTTAATAAAATCGAATATTGTCTTTAAATCATAAGTTTTAACAAGATTAATAAGTAAAAAACGAAAACGATTTGTTCGACCTGTTTTCTTATGAACTATTTCACATTCATATTCTTTTTTCAATGTTAAAGTTAAATTTTGTGTTGAATATAAATTTCTTCCTTCATCATACCAAATAAGTGGAAATTGTTCTCGTTCAATTATTTTTCTCATAACTTGAA